GAAAACAAGCGACATTTCTAAGCAGAGTCCCAGTCCACTGCATCACACCTTTTTGCTCGGACGCGCTCGTTTCACCGCCCAACCTTTTTCCGCCCTGTTTTTCAGGCTCGATTTCCGCTGCTCACAGTCGGGTTTCTCGACAAAACTCATTTCCGGAGCAACAACTGCATGATTGCGCACCGATGAAACCTTTATTAATCGGACACCTTCGGGACCTTCCCTAAAGTGTCCGCTTAAAAGTGGGTTTCCGCTTAATAGAGATTTGTTGACATTGCGCAATGTTTGTTGACGATTTACTTTCAACGGTTACCTCTCTATTGTGATAAAGTCCCATGTTGGCTATCCAGAGTTCAAGTTCATTACCTTTCATTACCAACTTTAATTTGTTTGTAAATGCAAAAACATTAACCGACGTATTTCAAGGACGTAATCCAATACTACTATTGTAAATTCAGTCCGGTGTTGAAAATGTTTGTGAGGTTATTTTGGATTAAGCAAGAGAAAGAATCGGAAAAGTTTTACAGGAGCTATTTACAAAGAAGAAAAATGGAAAAACGGAGACCAGAAGAGTTCTTGACAACTTGCGAATGCCTTAACCGCAAGAAAACTTCTCAACAGTTGCACCTTGCGTCATTGCTACGAGAGACTCGCTGTTTTGTAAGATTTTAATGTTTTCGCCAAAATTCTGCTTTGAGGAAGTGAAGACGTTGAAAAACGTTTCAAAGGAACTGTTTACAAGTTAGCCTGCGAAAACATCCGTTTCTCCTCGCTCTTCGCCGCTGGGGACGTTTCGCTATTTACAAGTTATATTTTAGATAAAGAAAAACAGAAGAAGCAGAGAAGACAACTAGCGTTTGGGATTTAAAGATGTCTAAACTGGTACAAATCATCGAAAATTCAAGCGGTTCAAGGCAGGTATGTTTATCGGCGTTTTTTCTTTTCAATTCATTGTATAAAGCCAGAAAATCATGTGGGTTTCTGATAAAACAAATAGATTCCATGTTGTCGTGGGTCTGTTCAGTAATAGATCGCAGAAGACGTCAAAATGTGGTAAAAACATCAGTGACACGCTTGTAGCATACACGCTCACCTCTAACACATTTTGACGTCATCTGTGATCTATTACTGAATAGTACAGACGCATGGCAACATTGAATCTATTTGTTAAATTGCAATTTCGTTTTTTCGGCCAAGGGCCAACGTTAAACGAGACGACAAACGAAACAGTTACGTCATTCTATTTCAAGGTGTCTATACTTCACTATGTCCAGACAAATCCGGATATTTTTGAATTAAACCACATACTTTCTTACACGAATCGGCCTTGCGTCCACACGAAACCAGTGAATCCGATCACAGAAACCACCGCTCTCCAGAGTGGTTAAAGACCCCCGTACGCGTCCGCACTAGTCTGTTAGAGTCGTCAAGCAACGCTCGTTTGTGGGGAGGAGCGTTGCACGACGACACTAAAAACAGGTGTGTAACGCACTACGTCCACATGAATCCGGAAAAACAATGCGTTTCAAAAATGGTCAGATTCGTGTGAACATGGCCTTATAGCCGAGGTGGGAGGTGTTCCTTTGAAGCGTACTCGGGGACACAAAAGCGCATTCCCTGCATGTAGTACCTGGCGGGATCAGAGACGGTGGGGGTACTTTATGGATCGTAGTGCCGCTGTGCATAAAAAACCTTTGGAAAGAAGCAGATGCGCACTTTAAATACCGCAGGCTAGCTACACAAGCAACACCCGGAGCCGACACACAAAAATCAAAGTTTCATAACTCATGACTTGATATGCATCTGATCATTTTTCTCAGTTCTCACTATATTCATTGATTTTTTTTTTCTTTGAGAAATTAGTTATCCAGATGGTGGAGCGCGGGCGAAAAATACAGCGAACAAAAATAGGAGGGGTCTGGGGAGAGCAGCTCTTACCAATACCCCTCATTTTATAGCTCGCACTACTTTTGGTTTTCGTCCACGCTTTACCATGTGAACACTTAGAAACAAATTGGTGTTGAATTTTGTTGTTTGTTTAGCTTCACTCCGACTGTGAAAGGATAGTATGCAGTTTTTCTACGTTGAGAGTAATATAGAAAACAATTATTCACCTCAGTGTCAGTGGTGGTGGAATTTTCAAACCCGCGAAGTTTTTTGTTTACAAATGCAAATTAATTGTTGCATTTGTAAACAAAAAAACATTTTCACCGGTTTTATCGGTTCAAACTTCCAAGTCGAATTTCTTCACCTTCTTCGTGTATTTCGGGAACAGTTCGTTTGATTATTTGTGACATTTCTTTGTTGTTGCGGCATCAAAGCGGGAAGTCATTTTGCTCGTAACTTAACGCGAGTTTGGCGTCGCTCGTTCGGAGGAGGTGGAGGTGAATCAATGAATAGCACTGGATATCCCAAGTGTGAGCAGCCAATCAGAGCGCGCGAAAAACACTATCCACTGTTTTAGTATATACTAAAAGGGATTATCATGCATTGCCTCCACGTATTAATAGCTCATGTTGTAACGCTCCCAATATACCGGAAACACATAAACAAACACATAAACAAACAGAAAGAAGCACTCACAAAAAAAGAGGAAAATATTTTTTTAGACTCTGAGCTGGACGCAGCCAAAGAGTTTCGTGAATGCAGACGAATGGGAAAGAATTGTTTTCCAAGACTATTACTGGGATCGAAACGTAAGGGAAAACTCGTACCGGTGCGAGTTTCAGTACCGGGAAGACTTTTTGATTTCGTATCGCGTTTACATGATGACTGGGTCATTTCATATCTCGCTATTTGAAGGTACTCTTCATGTTGATAAAATACAAGTGTGATTCAAAATCGCAAACATTACGCATGCGCTACCCGTTCCAGTCTACTGGCAGACCGATTTTCACACCGAAACTTTTGGTCGGTTTGCGTTTACATTACTACCATTGCGAGATTTCGTACCGGAGCGAAATTCTCTTCCTAGTACAACAACCGGGATGAGCCCACGCGGGGTGACTCGCGCCGGCATGACTTTTTGTGGTGGTATCATGTAAACAAATGTAGAGCCATGAGAGGGAACCGGAGTGAAATCGCTCTGGTGCGAAAGTCGCCCCGGTGTCATGTAAACACCTCCTGCAGATATTCCAAATGACCTAGGAGATTGTTAACTGAGCCAATTTGCATTAACACCTCCTGTGCATAGTTAATTCAAGCTAGAAACGCTCGGTAAATGGTACTCGTTTACAAATATATATGTATGACCATGACTCATTTTTCCTCTGCAAGGCAACCACGGCTGCCCACTCAAGGCTTAAAAAAAGGTGTCTACCAAGGATAAAAATATGATAGCACAGCGAAAGAGAAGACAAACAAACACATAAACAAACAGAAAGAAGCACTCACAAAAAAAGAGGAAAATATTTTTGTGTTTACTGGTCCGTGTGAGGGTCGAACTCACGACCTTGGCGTTATCAGCACCACGCTCTGCCGACTGAGCTAACGGACCTAACACATCAGTCAAAGTCAAACTATTAGTTTCTTTACCCATGTGACGTGTATTCTCGAAGAAAGAGAACAGTAGAGCAATTTCGCAAAGGCTGTGAGCTTTTCCAATTGACCAAAAATATTCGTAAATCTAGTTGGAAATATCTTTTGGGTAAACATCTAATTATATTCATTCTCTCTTGTTATTTTCTAAGAATTTTAAATGCAGCGTGACGGAAAAATCCTATGTGAGTTGGGGGATCGGAGGAGGCTTTGAATCGAACGAATTCTCGCAAAAGGTTGACTGGTGACGTAGGGCAAACTTGCCAAGAACGACTGGGACCGAGACTAATGAAATATTTCCTTTTTTTTCGTATTTTAGCTGAAAGGGAGCAAAAAGCTGATGATGAGCAGTCAGTTATGTCGGTTGAACATGGCTCCAGAAAACAATGGCAGAAGGCAACCAAGAGCGTAACGGCTCAAAAACAGGTTAGTCAGTCCAAGCTAGAAAGGTACTCCCAAAGGTATAGTTTGGAATCACAGTGCAACTTTTCAAGAATTCAGGTTCAGTCAGGAAGATATCACATATTTAAGCCATGCTGTCTTTTAAGACTTTATTAAAGGTTGTGCGGCACGCGCGCTAAGCGCACGCGCCACTTCATTCGCACTCGCAGCACACGCGCTAAATAGGAAGCTTAAGCAACGACGACGGCGACGGCGACGGATGAAAACGTCCGCTTGAAAAGTGAATTCGCGCGCCTCAAACTTTATCGCGCTTATTCCATCTCGTTTAATTCGTCAAATGTTGGCAAACTTCTCTGGAGTTGAATTCTAAAGGATTGTATCAAAGTTCAGGAAAAGAAAAACTAAATTGTTGTTTTGTGTTTCCGTCCTCGACAAAACGTGAAATTAGGCATTTTCACGTTGTAGTCTTGCAACGACGGCAAGAAATGAACAAAAAAAGCGTGATGCGCATGCAAAGTTTTTTTTTGCCAATCTAAACCTATTGGTTTATGGCCGTTCTCGTCGCCGTCGACCTCTTCGTTGCTTAAGCTCCCTAATACGCTGATTTAGTAACAGAACGGGAACGTCATTCAACGACTGTAAAGCGCGCGGAAAAGACTAAACTCGACTTCCGGTGCCCAATTTGTCGCTCTGCCATTGGTGAAGCCAGTTGTTTGATTTGCGCGCGCCGTCGTCAACTGATGTTCCAGTTCTGTTGCTAAATCAGCCTAATGAGGGGTTTGTGACGGGAACGCACTAAAACCTGACAAAATCATTGTGACACCTCTAGAATTGAGATATGATCGATTCCAGAACTAAAAGAACATAGAGGGATCACGTTACCGAGCGTAAAGAAACCTTTCTCCATTTTCTATGTCACTTCCAAACTTGCAGGCCACTACTTTATTTGCTAACACATAGCTAATGNCAGTTGTTTGATTTGCGCGCGCCGTCGTCAACTGATGTTCCAGTTCTGTTGCTAAATCAGCCTAATGAGGGGTTTGTGACGGGAACGCACTAAAACCTGACAAAATCATTGTGACACCTCTAGAATTGAGATATGATCGATTCCAGAACTAAAAGAACATAGAGGGATCACGTTACCGAGCGTAAAGAAACCTTTCTCCATTTTCTATGTCACTTCCAAACTTGCAGGCCACTACTTTATTTGCTAACACATAGCTAATGAAAAATCTGTCTTATTCTTATGTTTTTTTTTTATTCCTGGTTATCTACTATTGACTCGAAAGACTGTCTTTTTTTTTCTGTTTACTGGTATTTAACTTTATTTAAAGGTTATTGAGCATATGTCACGTGACAACGCAGCCCCCATTAACAGATTCAAAATGGCGGCACATCGGGTTCAGGGCGAGGAAAGACTGTACGCCAATCAGGCAGGACCCAGTCTCCACGATGTTGTGCAAATGGCGCGCGATGCTAATGGCAATGCAGTAGATGACCAAGACAGGGACTTGGAAGACTTACATCTCCCTGTTCTACAAATAGGCTCTCCTTCAAATCGATTGAATTGGGGTGCCTCAGATTTACAAGATACACTTCAAAGCAGAATGCGTGAGAGTACTGATATTTTAATTCGTAAAATAGCGGAGATTCAATATGAAGAGAATCTAAGGCAATCTCAGGAGACAATCCGCGAGGCACTGGAGCGAGTTAAGAAGGCTCAAGACCGAGCGCAGTATATGAAGAGTCTGCGGCGAGATCTTAAAGAACGCCTTTATGGAGAGCTTGAGTTTAGGCAAGCCAACGGAAACTTGAAAGTCGATGAGGGTAGCAAAGAGAAGGAAAAGAGTGATCAAAAACACAAGCAGATTTTACAAGAACTCAAAAAGGAAAAAGAATGGCAGCGAAGAACTGAGGTGATGATTTCAAAGCAAGAAGAGAAAATTGAAGAACTCAGAAAAGAAGTGAAAATGGAGATCCGCGGGATAATGGAGGAACAGAATAAACACTACGAGGAAATGAAACAAATGCTACAGGATTCCAAGGCGCTGGTTCCGTTTCAGGGAAGTGATCAGGCGTATGGTAGTTTAGATGGATCAACACGATCAAGATCAAATCCAGATGAACAGATGACACCAAGAAAACGAAGGCGACGCAGAAACATAAAAACTCCAGTCGAGGAACGTTCTCGGTCAAGCACCCCAGAATTTTACATCCAATAATTCATCCCACGTCTTAACTATCCAATCATCCCTCTCTCAAGCTCAATCATCATCATCATCATCATCATACATCATCATTGTCATCATCACCACCATCATCATCTAAATAACCCAAGAGAGAATAATCTGACACAAAGGAATCTTAAGCGTTGGCCGGATATGTGAATTTCATTAAAGTTATTTTTAGAGGTTGTAATTAAACGGAATCTGATGCATGGGACATCCCCAAATTTCAATCTATTATTTGGAACGTCATCATGCAAGTTTTCGCGCGACTGTCTCAAAGCAAAATATTCAAAATAATGTACTGGCGATTGTTGATTCACTCTCTTGACAACACTAAACAAAAGTTACGGACCTCTCCGGAAACCAACTTTCTATTAATTCAAGCGTTCAGTTGGTCTAAAATACAACTTAAGTGAAATTCACATATCCCAGACTAGTCCTGAGTGTTTCCCTCTCTGTTCCATTAATTATTCGCCATTGAATAATCTTATTAGCTTTCATGTGAAGTGATCCAAACAGATTCCGTTTTTGCGCTTTGGCTTTGCATGGTATGGTATCATAACGAATGAGAGTCTTGTGTCGAAGTGGTGTATGGGACTGTTAATAATAACTTTAAAAGAAGCCATAGAGTCCCCAAAATTGCAAATTTACACAACCACGACCTAGTCTCGCTGTCTTGAAATAGCCATTAGGCCTTCTCGTTCCTGAGCCACTCGGCACGTGACCAAAAGAAACGAGGGGCTCTGGGGACAATAACGGCCATTAGGCAACAGCAACTCCACTGAGCATGCGTACAGGCAGTATAACGAGTTGCCTCTGACGTGTCACAGTTTGTAGCTTAGCCAAATTTATACACCTATTTCAATTAAGGTTGCTCCCGTGAACCATGCTTCATAGCCTGCGGTGCACTATGGTAAACCCTTTTGTAGCGGGAAGTTTAGTCTTGTTCACGTTCATTGAAATAATGGAGACCATTTGTGAAAAGGCGTTCAAGACTAAGAGCTTTCAAGTCAAATGGCTGCTAAAATTCTTAAGCATGAGCGAGCTGAAAAATGTCATTTTTAAAATCTCATGGTAAAAAATTAGAAGCCTCTTCTTTTAACAACATTAAATGAATAGGGTTTTACCCGCCTGATTAAGCTGCGTTTTTCCATGGGCCAGAAAGCAGGTTATTTTAATAAAGCAAATCGACGCTATTCTTTTTTTTATTCAGTTTTGAAATAATAGGTGGTTTTCAAGCAATCTCGGGAGACACAAATAACAATGGTGAAATGAACAAATGCTGGTGGACAAACAAAGCGAGCTAATTAGCGATCTTTTGTTTACCGTCCACCAGCATGGCGGCCATGACGTAACGTGAAAACCACCTATTGCCTGAAAAATAGATAAACACGTAATGTTCAGTTATTTACTGTTGTTCGACAAACGCCTTGAATTTGATTTCTTTTTAAACTCCATCCAAAATTCCCACTTCCACGAGCCAAGCAAACTCGTTGAAAATTTGCAGTATTTGCATATTACCACAGAGAAAAACCTAACCTCAAATCACTGTCTTAAGTTAAAAAGCCTAGGATTCAGTGTTTTGAAATACATTGTCTTAACGTTCTGCTGACATAGCATAGAAACGTTAGCGGCGTTTGCTTTCTAGGTTCCTAGGCTCGTTGCGGGCACATAATTTACTAGACTTGCTACAATAATGCACCGCGCGCTATGAAACATGGATCATGCATCATTCTTCTCAGAAGCAACCTTAATTGAAATAGGTGTATACGCAGTGTCTAGGTTTGAGTTTATTAACTACATTAATGGTAGTCTTTACACTAGAGCCTAAATAAGCTAAGAAACATTTCAAGAGAAATAAATTTTAAATGCTTCAATTAAAAGAAAGCTTCACACACAACCTATCTTTTTCACTTCAGGTTTACTTAAGCCTATTTTCCCACGCAATATAAGTAAGATTGATTGACATGCTTCGCCTTTCTGAAAGCTTAGAAACCGCAAGTTTGCTAAGTCGGTTTTAAGGATGGTTTTCAAGTCACTTGAAACTTTCTTGAATCGTTTCAACTTTGCGACTTTAATGAGATGCAAAGTAAAGTTACTTAAGATTTTACTTAGGCCTTCACACACGCATTTCTGGTTAAGTAAAACTTAGCAGCTCTTAAGTCTTACCTAACAGCTTAGTGTAAAGACAGCCAAATTTTCATGGAGAGAACTTCCACTCTGTAAGATAGATTAAAATTTGAGTAACTAGTACAAAATGTCCTACACAAGCTAAAATGGTTATTCGTATTTTTCTCTAAAAAGCTTTTCAGGAAAAGCAATCCTTACCTATAAATATTAATCAACAGATTTAAAATAGCGGTCTTAAATTACACGCCAACTATGTTCATTAAATATTACAGAGAAAAAACAAATCAGTTTAAACGGTGAGTTCGAGAAATAAAGCGATACCCATAAAGAGCTATAAAGAGTTTTCATCACCCGACCGAACTTATCGTTGGGAAAATTAAAAAAAAAAAAAGGAAAGGAAAAGATGACTTAATTCCTTTTTAATTAATCGATAAGCATAGCATTCTTTTTATGTGTGAACTCAGACGTAGTTAACTGAATCATTAAATTATATTAATTATTTCTTATCCGTCATTGAAAGCGGAATATCGTTATTGAATTTCATCACAAATGTTGTTTTTAGATATTGCAACATCACATTTTCACGATCTTTATAGTACAAAATACGAAAATCCGTGATGTACTGCAGTGCACTAAACGAGAAAGAACCCAGTCATCATCTCTTTAAGTACTGAGAGCTCAGAACCTCAGTAATCTACTGTAGAGGGTGAAATACGAAATAAATTGAAAAAAAGGATAAAATGAATATAAGCGACAAGCTTATACATTTATCTGTAGATTTATTTTTTTATTCTAAAGGCATTTTACATGCACAGTTGCAGCTGACTTAAACAGTTTTAAAGATACAAAGTATGCTAATAAATAATTAACTATGTAATAAAGACGTCAAGGGATGTTCAAATTAACTGATGACTAAGCTCGGATGACATTTTCTGCTTTTCCATGATAACTAGCTGCCCCATCGTAATCGTATCGAGGCCTTCAGTATGGCAAGTCGTTTAGCTGTGTTAGCGCTCTTGCTGGCTTGTGTTGTTTGGGGAGCTTGGCTAAACTACGTTGCAACTGCACTCGTTGAAGGTGAGGTAAACATTAAAACGGCAAGTTGTGCAATCGCATGTTACCAGTGAGTGTTAATTTTGCCAACTCGTTTGTAGACTTGACTGCAAAACCCTCTCTTCAGGACTTTCGTTAGACCGCTTGCGATCGCACGCGCTCGTTCTTGACCATTATGGGCAACTATAGGCTGTTTTGCAGTCTAACTCGTTTGTAAACTTAAGTGACTTCTTCCCAGTGTATACCTTCACAGCATGCATGGGATAAACGTGTCTGACTTTTTCCTCTATATTCTAAAGTACCGCACTCAGTCTGATGATCAGAAGGACGTCCTCGGCCCACTTAAAAGACTCTGCTGTTTGGCATAGCGCCTTGCAAATGAATTTTCATATAAAGCTAGTCGTGAAGCGCCTATAGTTTCAAACCAAGAGCCTTATTTTTTCTTCTTTAGATCAATGCACTCAAACTATTTGCATCGTGCCATAGATATTAAATGTTAATCGCGTCTAAAATTTAAGTGCTTTTGATAGATTCGACAACACCAAATTCTATTCCGTGATAACAATAATCACGCTCCTTAAGTGAAAAACACAAGGTCCGAAAATCGTTTTAAGTCAGTAGAAAAATTCCGAATCTCTTTAATAGACGAATGGAGCGATTATCCAGAATGTTTTTTTAAGCCTTTCGCGAGTTTTAGAAATTTCTAGGCCAGAAAAATAAACAATAATTAATGAAAAAGTCGTCGGGTGCCCCTGATCATTGGGTTAACGAGTGCCTTTTAATTAGGTCGATCTCAAAGTATATTAAATTTATCCTTGTTCCTTCCTACCACCTACTTTTAGTCCCTCCCTTTAATTTAGGGTCTAAAAACAGAAAGTCGCTTTCTACGTTTGCATTATAAAGTATATAAATGAAGCGATTTCCCTGGCATGTCGTATCAGGCAGAAATGCGTCAAAATGAGACCAGAAATGTCCTTCGTTGTTAACGCCAAATGCGATGTCTTGGCATCAAATTGTGTTACACCAAATTCTACCTCGTGGTTTCAAATTCGTTTGCACCAAATCCTATGCTGTGTGCCAATTTCTATGACGCCAAATTCTCTCTCACCAAATTCTGTTGTACAACAATTTATACTCAGTAACAGCAAATTTTGTCTAAACTCCACCTCATCCATATGCATCTCTGGAACATCCCTTTCAAACCACTCGATTGATCGCTGACGAAATTTTCGTCGAGGTTTCCGCACAAGTTTCGCAACAGCCCAACTTAAATCTTGAAGAAATATTAAATTGAAAAGAAAAAGAATTTAAAATATCGCGATTTTCCAGACCAAAGCCAATCATTTCGCTTTCCGCAAATTACGATAGGCAGCAAAACAAACTACGTCATCATTGGACCGGTCTGGCCGCGAACTAGGCCGTGAACCATTTATACCAGCAGTTCGCGTCTTATCTAAGCCGTACTCGTACACATGGTTCTTTTCGAGGCTTATGTCACGTTGCCTCGGCTAGAGTAAGCCGCGGCTTATTTTGTCTCGTATGAACGGCCCTAATAATGTTACTCTAAGAAATGAATCAGGGGCACCCAACGAGAATATAGTTCAAAACCACTTAAAACATAGCATTGTTGAACGTATTTTACTATTTAAACGGTAGATATAGGCATATTTTTATCCCGTAAAAATTTTTCATCTGTTCGGATTTCCAAGCTGAAAGATCCGAAAACTATAGGGATCAAAACTTACCTGCTTTGAAAATTTCATCCAGAAAAAAGGTTCTCGAAAATTCTAAGTGACCTTTTTACGTTAAAAATCCGTTAAAAATGGGCAATTTTACCATTTTCTAGATGTTCGAAAATCCTAGGAGGGGGCAGGCAAGCAAGAAATTTTACAAGAAATGTTCCAAAAAATTCTAGATCTCAAATCGTCTTCCGAGCAGATATTTTCCGAAAATTGACGTTGGGTGCTCCTGTCCTCTATTAATAAACCTATTTACAAAAATACAAACAAATAGAACTTGGCACATACATGGAGTCCATTAACTCAGTGTTCTTGCCAACACGAAAAGCCATCCACTTTAAGGCTGGTTTTCACTAGCGACGGAGTCGGAGTCGGAGTCGGAGTCGGAGTTGTAATCAGAAGCGTGCAGGATTTGAAGTTATTGGATTTGCAATTTTGTGTGCACACTGACAGTTTTTGCTGTCCGTCGATTAAATTGAGTGCTGAATTTGCTGTTTCTGAATTCCGTGCAATGGAACAGAATTTTCGGTTCTCTCGCCGCAGCAGGTCATTTTCCCGCCACTGCAGCGCGCGTCTCTCAGCCGTGAAGGTCTCGGATATAATTGAAAACAGAACATGCGCAGCAATCGTTCACGGCTTCAGCAAACCGCGGACGTTTTAGTGCATTTATACGAACACTTTCACGTCCACGTAAGCCGCGGCTTGGATAAGCCCAACCCAAAAATCCTTGGCCAGGATAAGCTGCGGTTTAAACTAGCCGTGGGCTAAATAAGCCGTGAACGTAGATTTTGTACCATTTATATGGGGTGTTCGCGGCTTATGTAAGCTGCGGCTTATTTTCTTTCGTATAAACGGCCCTATTATATGTTATCATCATTGAGTCTTGGCGTAAAGAGAAAACACTATTTTGTAAGCTCTAGTGACGTTTTTCTAGTCAAGAAAATCTTGCTTAAAATTTGGCTTAATCCTGGGTTAACTTAACCATCTTTCGAGGAACCGGGCCCAAAACTTTTAGCAAATTTCTAGGTGTCTTTGGCCATCCCTGATTGAGTTCTTTGCAGTGAGAAATGGCTTCGTTTATTCGAGCCTTGGTGGAGTACCCGTTTTTGCAATTCAATGTAATTGATAGTCGGTCATTGAATTCTCTCTTAACTTTATTAATTTCTGTTTCAGGAAATTGCGGTCAAAACAACCGACGCATCACATTTCTGACACCAGTCAGAAGTTTTTACCTTGAAGGACACGCGATTTCAAATCATTCCGTGGAACTAAACCTAGATTGCCAAGACCAATGCGCCCTTGCGAGGGAAAGTGTTTCATATAATATTGGTCCAACGATCAGCAACAAGTTGACCTGTGAACTCAGTAATTCAGATCACTTGCATCACCCAGAAGATCTCAAACCAAGAAAAGACTGGATCTACAGAGGCACACAGGTAGGACGTTCAATGGCTCAACCCAACTTTAAGAATTCACTATCACTATGTAGCAACGATTTGCTTGAATTTTATTTTAAAACGGTATCAGTTATGAAGTTAATGGGTCTACTGGAGATGCATACAATATAGGTTGGTTCACACTAGCCGTTATACCCATGAGTAAATGCCTGTTAACCACGGGGAAGCAATTTTTTTGGTGTCCGATTTTCCCAAAATGAAATTATTGCTGGTAAAATTTCCATGGGTACATAAAAAAGAATAGAAGATGATGATAACAAACTAAGATGCTGATTTTTCCATACATTTCTTTCAAATTAGAATCCTTGCGCCACGAACCCCTGTCTGAACCACGGGACATGCTACATGGGATATACTGAGAAAAAATACGTTTGTGTTTGCTCAGCTGACTTTAAAGGTGAAAACTGCGAAGGTAAAACGTGTTCTGCTAACTTGAGTACAACCTTGTATTTACTAAAATTCTCTTATTTATACCAAGGGTTTATGACACACAAAAACAGGTATTATGATCAGTGAAACGATGCAAGAAGATCCTCCGGGACGACAATGGAGTGTTGCAGAAAATGCAATCGAACCCGCTATTTCGAACTCGGTTAATTCGAAGTCCCCGCTATTTCGAAGGAAGATCGAATTCCCTTGGATATACCCCTCCCCTTTACACTTCCCTAGTTATTTTGAAACCCCGCTATTTCGAACTTTTTTGGGACTTCGAAATAGGGGGGTTCGACTGTAATATCAAGACGTTGTTAAAGTCTTGTCGTTGTTGTTTTCTTCGGGTTAAAACTTGCAGGAGAGCGTGCTATTTGTAATTTTTTGTTGCCACCCTTAACTTCCAACATTCGGGGTGGAACCCCACTTTACGAACACCCATATATTCGGACAGTTTCGTTTGTCGTAACCAATCAAATCAGCACCAATCCCAAACTTTCAATGCTCCCCCTCGGGTTAGTGCCTAAGAAAGATGGCATCTGGTGCCTTATCACTGATATCTCTTCTCTCCTCGGTTCTTCAATTAATTATTACATACCTAAGGAAGCCTTCACCTTACACTACGCTACCTTCCACCAAGCTCTCTCTCTAGTTGCACATCATCACGGCCCTCATGGCCAAACTAGATCAAACACGCCTTCCGACACTGCCCAATCTGCCCGGAGAACCGCGAGCCACTCAGTATCCAGTCGCAGGGCAACTTTTACATCGATCTCCGCCACCCCTTTGGCTTGCGCTCCCATTCCTTGCCCCTCGCCCCTACTTCTGTAGTCACTTGGCCGACCCCTGTGAGTGGCTCCTGAAGAACAACTATCACTTTCAAGACCTCATGCATGAACTTGTGATAACTATTTTACGGTTGGTTCCCCTAATTCTTCGGTGTGCGCCCAGAATGTGGAAACCATCCCTGATGTAGCTTCTCAAGTGGGCATACCCCTGACCCCAGACAAATTTGTAGGACCCACCACTCGCTTGCTTTTTCTAAGTATCCTCACCCTTCTTGCTGAATCGCAATTCCTCCCCCGACCAGCAATGTTATCTCTGTAAATATAGGTCTCAAAACAGCTCTATACTGCACAGAAACAATTCCAAAGATTTCCCAAAGATTCATGTGTAATTCTAACCTGAATTTATCTAGAAAAGCTCAGATCATTAGCTCATAAAACTAGACCATTCACCCAAAGATTTCAAAAAAAGCCAATCACATGTTACCCGGATACTTTAATACATTATCAAAAGTCTCCAGGGCGTTTTTCCAGTTCGCTAAGATCCGCATGAGAATAAGAATGTTCTTCGCCCCGGTTTGCCATTTTAACAAAAATAATGGTAAAGTCATCTCCATCCGTCTGACAGTTTACAATTTCTATGCGGTGTACAGGGCATATTGAATAATGAAGCTCCGCATGTTGTGTGAAAATTATCATTCTAAAATTAATTGTGGACATGTTCTCTCTGTAGTTGGGTTATCATGCAGCTATCTTAAGAAGGGAGACCCTACAACAGCAAGTGGAAATTACAATATTGATCCAGATGGCGAGGGAGATCTGGAGCCATTCTCAGTGTACTGTGACATGACCAACAAGAATGGGGTTGGTGTGACAGTCATAAGTCACGACAGTGAGAGCAGGACTACTGTGGATGGATATGAAGGTAAAGGTAGTTACTCACGTGATATTAATTACACAAGAGCAAATCTATTTCAGCTGGCCAGTCTCACCAGTGTCTCCTTACACTGCGAACAGTTTATCAAGTACGAGTGTCAAGACTCAGGTTTTTGGTTTGGCGATCCATACGGATGGTGGGTGTCGCGTGATTCTACTAAGATGACCTATTGGGGTGGATCATCGCCAGGAAGTGGCAAGTGTGCATGCGGGATGAACAACTCATGTGCAGCAAACGGACGCTGTAACTGTGATGCGAATGACAATGTATGGCGTGAAGACAGCGGTCTCCTCACTGACAAGACAAAGCTTCCAGTAAAACAGCTCAGGTTTGGTGATACAGGTGGAAGTCACGAGAAAGGCTACCACACTCTTGGAAAATTCAACTGTTATGGCACAGCATAATCACTTGGGTATCATACAGACAAACTTATCGGTTAATGTCCTAATTTATTGTTTTTTAGTGGAGTGTTAAAATAAGTCTGTAAATACAAGCATCTGCAGCTTAGGGTCACTTAAAAAAAATCTTACCAGTCTAATGTACGAGTTTTCAGACTCTAAAACAATACCTACACTGTACTCTTAGCAAATGATCGCTAAAATGCACTCAGGATCCACCGTAGAAAACATTGGATTGTATGTATAAAAGAAAAAAAAAAAACCAGTCGATATTATTTGCACTCTAATAAGCAGCAAAGCTACGGTACTGTTGCAATAAGCTATGGCATATTCAATTAGCCGACGATTATTCAGATCGTTTTTCCCAATACGGACCATTCTTTGTGTTCATATCCAATTAGCTGTAGATTATTCATTGTGTAGTGTAACTTTGTAGTTATAACCGTTAGGACGCTGAATAAACTTCGCTCGTCAAAAGTTGTCTTGTCAGGATATTTTCGCGAATTTCTTCATTCTGGAAGCGGAAAGTTCGTGGGGGAAACAGGAACCATGCGCGAAAAATTAAATTTTCACAAATTTGCTCAGGACAAATAATATGGTGCAAACGAAGAGGAAAGCAAAGGCAGAGACGGGTAAATACCGCATTTGCTTACTGGTCTATTTTAACATGGAATTGTAAATTCGTAAGCAAGTGCGGCATTTGCCATCTTTGCCCTTTAGTTAACCTTAGTTTGCACTTTTTTGCACTACATTTGCACTAAATAAATTTGGTGTAAATCAAATTTTTCGTGCTGACAGCAAGTGCTTCGCGGCCTGAACAACGCCTGAGCGTGAGACCAAAGTTATACCTTCCTGGTTCGCTTAATACACCTCTGAAGTCTATAACGATTTTGCGTTTTGCTATTTATCGTTACATGAATTAGAATGTACCATAGTGCTATAGCGTGAGACCAAAGTTATACCTTCCTGGTTCGCTTAATACACCTCTGAATTAAAGTCTATAACGATTTTGCGTTTTGCTATTTATCGTTACATGAATTAGAATGTGCCATTGCTTTTATGGATTATAAAGCTATTTTTTTTAGTTCCATTTTATAGAAAACTTGCTTTTATAACTGTATTGTTATCAAGGATCGGTATGGTTTTGGACGACTTGGCCCCTATCATGATTTATTTGTTGTGGCTCAATATTATTCCTAGTTTAAATTGTACTTCACCTTGGTTCCAAACTCATTGCCATGCATTACTATATCCCAAAACAAAGGGAAATAAAACTTAAACCAGGGATAAAACTGAATCACAACATATACATACGATTGTACGAGTTTCGTAGTTAAATTACTACACCTTAATCACAACCGTTAAGGTTTGTGTAACACAGGAAAACCTGCAGTGAGGGGACCGGCCCCTGTGGCCAGACTTGCATGGTCTGTATATGGCATGGACAATCACGGATGACGGAGTATCTGCTTTGATGGGAGATGTCCGTTATTGAAAGTTCGAAGGTTCACTCTCGTCTTTAAAATAAGAATATATTTACAGTGTATTCCCATACCAAGGCATGTAATGTTAGGCACTGATGACTCCATACAATTCCTTGTACGATCTAAACAAATATTAGAAGCTTTTATTGGAGTAATCAGAGCGTAATAGTACCTCAATTTCACCACCAATTCGCACTAGCACGATGATTTTTTTGGGCAGTTGTGCTTTTACCGATTTCTATTTGACCCAATCCCAGAGCGCAGGTGGAATTGACTGATGCATAATGTCTAATGATTTGATCGAGAGACAAATGGTTTACACTTGTTGGCTCCGGAACCACCCAAAATACAAGAGCGAAATAGACAAGTCAAGACTGCAATGGGGTCTGACGTAATGTTCTTCAATTATGCATAGATGGCGCTGAAAGATGTTGAAATTGCTCCTGCGAGGCTATGCCTGTGATCCCCGGACAGTTTGCAATTCATATTCAATTCAGTTCTTGAAGAGCAGTTTTTATTTTTTGTACCTACTTTTGTTTGTAGTTAGGATGATAGAACTGAATGTGTAGGGATTTCAAATCAGCTGGCGTAGGGACGGGATGTGTCGTCTACGCTGATTGGTTGAATAAAGATGAAAGCAAGATTCCGGGAACTCGAAACTTTGTCAATTTATTTTATCAGGATTAAAGACTCCTTATAATATACAATTGCTCAATTTTTTTTGGTGAATTCCATACATGGGTTCGGTTTAGTCTGGAAGAAGAAACTGTTTGAAGCGGACATGACGAGAAGCTGGGAGGAAGTATTCACTTATGCAGCTTTTTTGAGTCGTCGAGTTGCGTGAAGATCGACACAAAAAAGGCTGCCTTGGAGACTAGAGAAGAAGAGGTAATGCCGTGATGATTGAGTACCCACCCCAGACTTCCCTTCCCTAGCCCTTGGATGGAAATGTTATTAGCTGGCAAACTTATTGTATAACCATGGCTGTTTGCGCATCAAACACAAACAAAATGACCTGCATATTATCAAACAATGCGGTTGGCAGACGTCTTATATGTTTGCGTACATTAACAGGTTACGTTGGTTCATGTAAATTGCGATTTATTCAAGTCGAGAATGTTCTCGTTACAAACTCACAGACATAAGCTTCCTCGGTAGTCTCATACCCTGCCGTTTTTGTTTCGATTTTAATGCAACGCGAAGACAACAAAAAAGAGCCTCGTGGGACTGACTACTTCCTCCCTGCCACTCTTCAGTAGTGTCCCCTTCAAATATGGTTACTCCTTCACGAGACTTAAACGGAACGCTGAAGGACTATCCTTGGATAAATAATTAAGCACCCTTTTTTCAGATTGCGAGAGCAACGGCCAAAATGCTAGAAGAAGCTAGTTAAACCGAAATAAGCTCTGGCGAATCGGCCGTATTTTCCGGCTTAAGCTAAGCATTGTATTAATTAAAAACGAAGAAAAAAGTTCAAAAAAAATATATTCATTCAAGACCTCGAGTTCCTGTTGATTTAATAAATGCTGAATGCTACAGTGTTTTTGAAAATGGGTATATAATGCAAACGACATTTTCCGTTAATAAACACGAAATTTTTAATTGGAATTGCTTAAAATGTTCATACGAGTTTTAGTCGAGTTCAGGGAGATCTTCAAGCGGATTAGCTAAGCTTTTGTCGTCATATTTCGGTTCTTTCACCGAGCAAGAACTTGAAAATGAAGAACACATGCACAAAATGAGTTTTTTTTACACGTGCTCGTTGATACAAATCATATCATTTTTGGTTGTGTCTATTTCCTTTCTTCGTGGGAGGTAAAGGGTCGGTGGTAAAATTTTCCCTAGAGATTTTTGAGTGGGATAAAGCACCAACTAGTTAACAATTATTCCTCGAGCCGGAATGAGCTCTGAGTCAATAGCCCATGAGGCCGAAGGCCATGAGGGCGAGAGGAATAATTGTTTTAGTAAAATAAAACTAGTTGGTCAAAAATATTGAGAGTAAAAGAAAATTAGCTAGTTAAAGCTAGACTTTAATCCTTTATTGCCGCCAAAAAGCCCACGCTTTTCACTACTAGTGGGCTATAACATATAGCCTAGTAGTAGCTCAACCAATCACACCGCAGCATTGTTAACAGACCACAAGTTGGATTTTACTAAAATGTGAGAACATAGTCCTAGGCTAAGTTTACACTATACCGTATAGCTTTTGAACCGGCACGAATCGAAATCCCTACTGGATAGGGCTTTTGTTCACACATAACTGAACGCTAGCTTTTGTAACGGAGCGAGGCTGCGCCGTGCCGATTTCTAAGGTGGGTAGCTTTTCGTGTTGGCAAGAAAACTGAGAAAAGCTATCCGGTAGTCTTCATTGAGGATTGATTTCATGCTTTAATAGACCCCATATATGAGCGAAGCTCTACTGTCTTTTTTAAAAAAATAGGTTTATTATAAACATTTTCAATCATTATATTTTTAACAGTTGGTGCATATGGGGGATGTTCCACACAAATGACTGGTATATACGCAGTGTCTAGGTTTGAGTTTATTAGCTAAATTTTCATCGGGAGAACTTCCACCCTGAAGATAGATTAAAATTTGAGTAACTAAGTGCAAAATTTCCTAAACAAGCTATTGGTTATTCGTATTTTTTCTAAAAACGCTTTTTAGGAACAGCAACCCTTACCTTAAATTTTAATCAACATACTATCTTCATTAAATATTACAGAGGAAAAAAAAATAAACAGTGAGTGACTGGGAGGTTCGAGAACGAAAGCCATACCCATAAAATGCTTTGTTTTTCACCACCCGGCCGTCCCTATCGTTAGGAAAATTAAAAAAAAAAAAATGGAAGGGAAGGGAAAGATAATTTAATTCCTTTTTCATTAGTCTGTAAGCATAGCATTCTTTTTTATGTGTGAACTCAGATATAGTTAACTGAATTATATATAATTATATTAATTATCTTGTCTGTCATGGAAAGCGCTAGCGGAATTCATTACAAATGCTCTTTTTAATATTGCAACATCACGTTATCACGATCTTTATACTACAAAATACAAAAATCCGTGATGTACTGCAGTGCACTGAAAAACGAATAGCAGTTATACTAGATGGTAAACGAGAAAGAACCCAGTCATCATCTCATTAGTACTGGAACCTCAGAACCTGTAATTTACTGTAGAGGGTGAAATACTAAATAAATTGAAAAAAACAACCAAAATAAAAAAAACAAACAAACAAACAAACAAACACAAGGATAAAATGAATAAAACACAACAAGCTTATACATTTATCTGTAGATTTATTCTTTTTCTTCTAAAGGAATCCTACATGCACAGTTGCAGCTGACTTAGACAATTTTAAAGACACAAAGTATGCTAATGTATAATTAACTATCTAATAAAGAAATCAAGGGATGTTCAAATTAACTGATGACTAAGCCCGGATGACATTTTCTGCTTTTAATTTCCATTATAACTGTCCGATCGCATTCGGGAGTGGTTCATTCCTTATCAAGGCTTC